GGAAATCTCCAAAAAAATTACAAGTTTAAAAATCGCTAATTTTCAAAATTTTTTAATTTTTTTTACTTAAAATTGCTATAACTTTTTCAATAATGAACATGTCAATATAATTTTAGCTTCGATGCGAAGCTGTGAAGGTATATGTTTCACTAAGATGTGTTTATTTTTTTTTTTGTGTCTTTTACCACTTTTTCTCAGCTCTCACCGAACGGATTTCTTTCAATGATACGTCAAAAGATCACAAATCGTATCTAATCGGAGACATTACCCTCAAAAATTGAAAACAAATCCCCTCGTTCCCCGTAAATGAGGGAAACCTCCAAAAAAATTACAAGTTTAAAAATCGCTAATTTTCAAAATTTTTTAATTTTTTTTACTTAAAATTGCTATAACTTTTTTTAAAAATAACCGAATCAATATTATTTTTTTTATATAGATGCATGATATCATTACCGTTCATTTGGTATAATTTTTTTTATATGTGACCCTTTACTTGCCCACAAGGGGGGATTTAAAATGACAACTTTTTCACAAAAAGTTTACTTTTTCAACTTGATTTTTGAAAATGTTCCGGAAGGTCTGACACTTTTATATATATCTTAAATTAAAGCTAATACTTTATACTTTAGTATGAAAAAAAAAAATTTCCGACTTTATTTTATCTTCACAGTGAAAATGGCTACCGAATGCTATTTTTGTGTGAAAATTCTCGATTTTATTTTTTACATTTTTAACTTTATAATGTTATAACTTATTGAAAAGTGTATGGATCAAGACAATTTTTTTATGAGAAATAATATTTTTTAATAATCCCTTTTTCATGCGACATAATTCATCTTAATTAGGATATTAATAATGAACTAGCAGATCATGTAGCTTTTGGAATAATCCACCAATTTTTTAAAAAAAGGGAAATTAAGGGAATAAGAGTTATTGTTGCTATTGAAATAATCTACCAATGTCTTAAAATTAACACTATCTAAAGATTTGCATCGAAGCGTTTTTTTTTTTGATAGTGATTTTAATCACTGTCAGATATCATAATGCTTGATCCATCTATGCCACGTCACCACTGTGCCGCGACCCCCCTGTGCTGGGTTTTTTTTATAATTTGCAGATGAGCCATTGAATATTTACTATAGTACGTTTTAAAAATTATCTAACAAGAATTTAATTTAATATTAAATGTAAATTTCTTATATTTACAAATATATATTAAGTTATTTATTTCCAAATATAAATTAAAAATTAAAATTAAGTGTAGAAATACTTACTTAGATGTTTTGGGATCCAGAAATTGTTCAAAGCCAAGATTTTTGTACCAAGTTTCTATGGTTTCGTTGTAAAATGAATTAAGCTTAATACATGTTAAATATACTAAGTAAGAATCATTTTCATTAGAGCATTCTTTAATTTCACTTATCAAATCAGTTTTTATAGAAGTGTCGATAATATTATTATTTTTAAAGAGATTGTTTACTTTTTTTAATGCTTCTGTATAAAATTGATTAAAATTATGAAATACACTTTCAGAGTCTTCAAGAATTGGTAAGCTATTGAGATCAAAATGGATGGTTTTTGATTTTTTCTGTAAAACATATTGTTGAAAGAATTCGATTTCGTCAATTATAGAATTTGGCATATTGCGTCCTGCAAATAATAATCTTACATCGATGTAGCTTATAAATTTCATAGCATTATAGAGATTTTCAAACATAGTCTTAGAATTTTTCACTTCTTCTACAAGTGATGTTACACAACAATTAAAATTTTCCGATAAATTTCTATCATGAAATTGCTTACATATAGTGAAGATAAAATACGTGTAAGCGAGAAAGTTTTTAAGTATTTCTGTGTACTTAAAATTGAGTATACTTATTGTATTAGAATAGTAATCTCTGAAGAAATTCTCTAACATGTTTGATCGATAATATTTCTCCAAATCAGTAATATAAATTGAATCTTTTTTTAGTTTGAGATTTTGTATTTGATTTGATCCAATTTGTGAACGAATGTGAGTCACCACTTTTTTTATATAATTTTTATAATTCTCACGATAATCTGAGTATTGTTCTGCTTCAAATGGTTTCAAAACGAAAATGACAGTAGTCATAAAAATTAAAGCAAAAAACTCCATTAAATAAAATGTTAATATTAAAAATTACTAGTTTGAAATTTAAGGAGATTTAAAATGAATACATGCGAATGTGTTCATTATTATTTTATATCATTTATTTTTTTAGTATTAAATGTGTATAAACAATATAAATCTTTTTTTTGCGTCTTCTAAAATATAATTCAATGCTATACAGACTTTAATTTTTATTTTCCAAATAATTTTATGTAGAATATGTTAATTATTTTGGATTACATTATATTAATGTATAATGATGCATAATAATTACTGTTAAAAATAATTTAATTTAAATAATATAACAGTTTTGTATAAATAAATAAATAGTAATATAGAATGGATAGCTAACATAATTATTGATATAGTAGTATTTTTTACTGAAATATAACTAAAATGCTATTTTACAATTTTTAAGTAATTATAAACACCCTGTTTAATATTATTATTTTGTTTGTGTATAAATTTATGAATTTCCATTATGTATACTGTAATATGTGTTTTCGATTTCATAGTTTGCAATAATTGTACTAAACATATTTTTAGCTCTAAAAATATTTAATTAATAATTTTGTCATTAATGTATAATATATATAAAGGTTATTAGGTATGACATTCGACGTTTATTTTTAATCTTAGTCATAATAAATTATAAATTTAAATTAAATTGATTAATTAAAAATGTATACAAAATTATTTTCCTTGTAGCTTCGATGCGATGCTGAGAAGGTATTAATTTTACTATGATGTGTTTTTTTTTATGTCTGTTGCCACTTTTTCTCAGCTCTCAATAGATCGATTTCTTTTAACAATACGCTAAAAGATCACAAATCGTATCTTGTTGAAGACATTACCCTTAAAAATTGAAAAATTTTCCCTAGTTCCCCGCAAATGGGGGAGATATCCAATAAAATTACAAATTTAAAAATCGGTAAATTTTGTCATTTTTCTCACTTTTTTTTTTAAACTTCTATAACTTTTTCAAAAATAAACTAATCAACATAATTTTTTTTTATACTAAAACCTTAGATATTTTCCTTTTATTTGATATAATTTTTTTGAAAATCTAACACTTAACCTGCTCATTGGGGGGGATTTAAATAAGCAACTTTTTTACAAAAACTAACTTTTTCAACTTAATTTTTGAAAATGTTCCGGAAATACTGCATCCTTTAATCATATATCAAATTAAAGTTTATTTTATGTACTATAAAATGAAAAAAAAAAATTTGTCCCGACACCTTATCTTCTATGTGCAAATGGCTGTCGAAATTATAAAAAAAATGTAATATTTGCGATAAAAATCACCTTTTATAACGATGTTTTTTGTACTTAAAACTGCCATAACTTTTTCAAATATTAACTAATCAAAATAATATTTCTTTATATTGAAACCTTAGGTAATTTTCTTTCATTTGATATCATTTTTTTTTGAAAATCTAACACTTATTCTGCTCACAGGGGGGATTTAAAATAGCAACTTTTTTACAAAAACTAACTTTTTCAACTTAATTTTTGAAAATGTTCCGGAAATACTGCGTCCTTTAAACATATATCAAATTAAAGCTTATTTTATGTACTATAAAATGAAAAAAAAAAATTTGTCCCGACACTTTATCTTCTGCATGTAAACGGCTGCCGTAGTTAAAAAAACGCTATTTTTGGGTTAAAATTTTCGAATTTCGATTTTAAATGTTCAACTTAAAAGTGCTATAACTTTTCGAAAAATGTAATTATCAGCACAAATATTTTTTTTCTAAATTTATTATAAGTACATCTTTCATTTGACATACTTTTTATTAAAATTGGACATTTTCCCCATATATAGGGGGTATTCAAAATTTGAAACATTGTATAAAAAATAGAACTTTTTCAACTTAACTTTTGAAAGTGTTCCGAAAATACTGCGTCCTTTAAACATATATAAAATTAAAGCTTATTTTATGTACTATAAAATGAAAAAAAAAAATTTGTCCCGACGACCTATCTTCTATGCGCAAATGGCTACCGTATTCAAAAATATGGTATTATTGTTTTAAAATTCTTGGTTTTGTATTTTATTTTATTATAAGGGGATTACACTGATTTTCATAAATATTATATCAATCTAAATGACATAGTATAAAAAATTAATCATATTTAAATTTTTTTGTTTCTTTGAAGTCGAGAAAAATAACTTTAAAGTTTGAACTAGCTAAATTTCCATTTTTATTAAGTGACGAATGAGACGTACGATTTTTTTATTATAACTTTCACTTTAAAGGACAATAAAAAGTAGGTTCAAAATGATTACTTTTAGCATATTAATAATCAAAATCAATAATAATTTGAAAACAATTAATTTTAAAAATTATATAATATATAATTAAAAGAATTACAAATCTGGGTATAATTAAGGAAATAAAAGTTGATGTTGCTTTTGTAATTATCCATCAATTTTTTAAAATTAAACAATATCTACGGATTTGCATAGAAGCGTTTCTTATGATAGTGATTTTAATCACTGTCAGATTAAATCTATACTGGACCCAACTATGCAACGTCTCCAATATGCCGCGACCCCACTGTGCAGGGTTTTGTTATTTTTTATTTAAGAAAACTATCACAAAAAACTATTTTCGATTGATTTTAACATATAAAATTTTACTTATAATATTCTAAAAATAAGTATTACTTGACTCAGATCTTTATTTATTATGAATAAGCACGTTATCCGGTCGTGATTTTCAGCTGTCTACCGTCGCACTCGTCAGAGTTGATGTTAACACTTCGGCTTTTCGGCGGTCAGTAGATAGTACAGGTCAAGGAGTTTAGCACCGTGAGACATGTCGGCGACTATGTCAATTTTAGTTCACCTGTTACTTACATCCGCCATGCGTGCCGTCGAATTTTATACTCTGTATTTGAGTTGTTTGTATTTTTATAAACATTGATAATAACATTTATAATAATATAATATAATTTTTTTATTAGAATTAAAAATCAACTGATTCGAACGTTTAAATTAAATACGTTAGTACGTTTATTATTACAAACTACCGATAGTGTCATACTATACAACAATTACCAATGTATATGCTTTTGCTCGTCTGATGCGCCGTGTTCGCCTCACTATCCGAACACCTCTAAATTCCAATTTATACTTGTATATACTTAAGTATACTTGTATATTCTCAATTTAACTACCGACTATTCGCGATTGCCACCTGTACACTGTGCTGTGTTCGCATTGCCGACAAGTGACAACGATCATCTATCTGACCTCTTCGAAAATCCTGTTTCGCATTAACAACTATAAATTAAAAAAAGAGAATTTGTTCCGACGACTTATCTACTATGTGTAAATGGTATCCATAGTTAAAAAAACCCAGCACAGAGGGGTCGGGGCACAGTGGTGACGTGACATAGTTGAGTCAAGTATAATGATATCTGACAGTGATTAAAATCACTATCATAAAAAAGGCTTCAATGCAAATCTTTTGATAGTGTTTAATTTAAAAAATTGGTGGATTATTCCAAAAGCTACATGATCTGCTTGTTCCTTATTTATATCCTGATTAAGATAAAGTTGTCGAATGAAAGAGGGATATAAATATTATTTCTCATAAAAAAAATTTATTGATCCATACAATAAGTTAAAGCATTATAAAGTTAAAAATATAAAATATAAAATTGAGAATTTTCGCCCAAAATTACCTTTTGGTAGCCACTTTCTCCGTGAAGACAAATTTTTTTATAGTAAAAAAGTATATTACATAAGCTTTAATTTAAGATATATATATAAAAGTGTCAGACTTTCAGGAACACATTCAAAAGTTAATTTTTTTTGAAAAAGTTGTCATTTTAAACCTCCTTATGGACAGATAAAGTTTCAGATTTATAAAAAAAATATACCAAATGATAGGTAAAGACATCAAGCATTTATAAAAAAAATTATATTAATTTGTTCATTTTTGAAAAAGTTATGGCAGATTTTAGTAAAAAAAATTGAAAAAATTTCGAAAATTAGTGATTTTTAAATTTGTAAATTTTTTGGATGTCTTCCCTCATTTACGGGGAACGAAGGAAATTTTTTCAATTTTTGAGGGTAATGTCTTCGACTAGATACGATTTGTGATCGTTTGACGTATCGTTGAAAGAAATCGGTTTGGTGAGAGCTGAGAAAAAGTGGTAATAGACACAAAAAAAAAAAAAAACTTAGTAAAACCAATATCTTCTCAGCTACGAATCGAAGCTATAAACGTGCTATTTTTGAAATCAAATTTTGTTTCATTATTTATTTTAAAATACCATACAAGGTTTTGCCACAATAATAAGTCCTCTAATTTTTATTAAAGTTAAAGTTTAAGTTTATTAAGTTAAACGTATCTGACTTACATTAAATATAAAATTAAACTTATTTTGATTGTTTTACCTCCTCAAACTTAAGAAAAGTAACTTTGAATTATTGATTTAGTGTAAATAGTTCTTTTTATCTATTTGTATATATAGTTTACGGTAGGTGTTGTACATACGCTCGGGGCAAAAAAATAGAACCCAAAAGAAAATTTTTTTATCATTTTTTCCTAATCCTTTTTTGAGGTGGAATAAAAATTCAAAATGAATAATAATAAATAGCATTTAATCAAAATATTCAATGAATATCGAGGACCCTATCACTGTAGTCTCCCCTTGTGATAAGGAATTTCTTATTCATATTAAAAAATTTTATTATTTAGTTTTTGGGTCTGTTATTCATTTATTTCAGCTCTCACATGATCAATTTTAATTATCAGTAAGTCAAAAGAACACGATATTAATCATGTTAAACTTATAATCGCCAAATATTGGAAAAAATTCTTTAATTCTAGTAATTTAGGCGTTTTCCAATAATACGCATTATAAAAAAAGCCACTTTAAAAAACCTTTTTTAAATTAAATATTTAAAAATTAAAAAAAGTAATAGTATAAAAAAAAGTAGTATAAAATTCGTTATTTTACTCAATGACACAGTAAAATCAAATAAATAATATAAAATATTTTTAAATGATAATAGACCAATATATTCTTTATTAAACTAAATTT